TAAAAAATGTTCATATCTGCTTTGCTATTCTTTTTGTATTCATTGGCAAATTAGTATTGTATACGTATTCAGTGTGAAAGTCTTCACGCATATGGGTATGCATGTAGAATCGAAGAGGGAAAGGAGTCTGGACTATTTGAAAGGACCTGTAGTGTTCGAGTACGTCAAACGCACACAGAGAGGGCGCCAAGCGTGATTGATGGGCCATGCACCCTTGCCCGGGGTTGCATTGCCAGCAGCAGGGGTGACACGCACCATATACAAAGTAGGGGTTGGGCTAAGCAAAGGCCACACCATACCAACCCCTTATATAAGTATGCACGCCCGAATTTCTAATAAGGATTAGTGACTCTGACGAAGAATGGCCAATTGAGTCTGAAAAGGAAAATCTTAATTGTCTCGTATCAAATCTATGAATTTCTCGTAGACTTAACTATTCTGAATTTTATGTATTGTAAAATGAAATTTAAGAACTTACTACACGATAATATTAATATTATATTATTATTAAGTGCCTAATTCACTATGGGATTAAATCCCAAGAGCAATATACATATATAACTTTTTCGTCAAAGTACCTTGTACTGATTAGTCGATATGACAATTTTTGTCATTTCTTCAAATATTAATCTTATTACACAAAATCAATTTTTGTCGTAATTTTTATTTTTCTCAATCGAAAATTTTCATCTATTAAACAAGCCGAATGAAAGTTTAAGTTCTGTTACTAAGCACTGTTCATTGTTTTTCAGTGTGAAACGTGCTTAACGACGACGCAGCAAGGTCTATACTGTATAGTACGGTTAAAATCGATGCGACTAGTCCTATGTGCCAGGGTTCTGGCTCATATGTATATATGTATATATATATATATATTGCGTTCATGGAATATATATATATATATCAACGTAAAACGTCAACGTAAAACGCGATAGCAGGGAATCATGTTCTAGTTCAAATTAAAAAGATCCTCGTAACGTCCATTCCTAAAGTACGAAAATTTGAAAATACAGGCTCAGACGTAATACAAACGAATAAATCAAATCCCGTCATTGGCAGTTTACCGTTTAGCGAGATAAGACGTATCGTGTGTGACGTACATGATCATTTACATATGTCTTAGCCTGTTAAGTTTATTTTCGTTTTTTAAAATTTTTTATCATTTCACTTTTGGTCAAAAATTAATAAGGAATACAAATTTTACTTTTTATTTCAAATTGTGCAAAACGTGCGTACGTCTGCCTCAAGCGATTTAATGCAACTTGTCGGCGCAGAGGAAGATATCCTTCCTGTGCCACCTGCGTATATGAACGCGTTCGTGTACGAATTTCGGTTGGTGAGTACTAGACGTTGCCCAGCTTTGCCCTATGCCCAACTAGCCCCGTCTACTCAATCGACAGTTATACTATACATCGGAGCGCGGGAGAATTCAAATACAGTTTATGATTATGAGTTTATGATAATTTGTGCAATGCAACATAAAGGCTGAAGAAAATTAATAAATAAAAAAACAGAAAAAGTAATTAACCTTATTAAGCTCTAATCGCGTTCAGCAATACGAGTATCCTAATTACATTGAAACTTTCCTCAGTCATACCAACTGTCAGGGCTAAGGATTTTCATACCGAGCAAGTCTAATCCTCATGACGAAGTATAACTACTACCAGTAATACATACGTAGTAAACGCGACTCGTACGAAGCCGATCCATCCCCGCAAGCTCAGGGAAATATTGGAAAAGCTAGCAACACTCGATTACATATTTCCATAGCAGATCGACACTGTCACAACGAGAAGCTGGACCAAGGATCTCGTGGTGGAAGTGGACCAAAGGTCCAGTACGTGTGTCCAGTGCATCATACGGGGTGCATGTGCACCAGACTCGCATTGCTTTATTTTCATCCCCCCCACCACCCCTCCTCCACGTCTCTTTAACCCCTTTGCTATATCCTCTCACTCCATTTCCCCTCTTTTCACTATTTTTCTCTTGGTCCACTCTTTCTTTGTTTTTTGCTTTTTTTTCATCCTTGCGGATGAAAAGCTAATCCGGGCAGCGCACTCGCGGAATGACTCGCGCACGACACGAATTGCATGGACACCAATACGTCACCGGTAACTGTGACGCGAGGGATACGGAAAATACGGGAGAAGGAATGGGCAAAATAGACGTCATGGCGGATTCCGTATGTGTCACATGATTTAACGTCGATCGTGTCTCCTCCTGGCGGAGAATCGATAAATTATTTTAGGATGCGAGACAGACAATGGATCTTATTCACGCTAACCGGATATATCGGTAAGATGGTTGGTTAGGTTGCTGTTTGAATTGTTGGGACTGTACAAATTTTTTAGAAATTTTGAAAATTCTTGTTAACCGTCATATTTTTGATGAAACGTGTCTTTCCGGTTAAATAAAGTTTTTGATGTCCTCGTGGTAAGTCATTCACGCATACCTTTACGGCGGCGCTTTACACCGACGAAGCAGACGCGTCGCGACGCTGATACCGATCTAAACGATGTCGCTCATTACTCGAAATTATCGCTTGAAACCTGTTGAGCATTTTTCCGGGGTCGAGAATGCCTTTTATCCGTGGAACTCTGTGTATCGTGTTCGTTGGATTGCGTCACTTCTACATAACGGGAGTTGATTAAATCTCTGCAGTGCTCTTTGTACCTCTCTCCTTCCAGCATTCTCATATACACTCTCTGGTTTTCTTTTTCAAAATGACCCTGCACCCACGTGTTAAATCAATCAAAGAAATCGGTAACAGTTTAATCCCCCCTCCCCCCCCCCCCCCCTCCCGAAAAAACTCCT